TGTTTGCTGGCATTCAAACAACATCCGTTCTTTATCTCTCTGTGTTATCCTCAGGAGAGTGATATCATTCATGGTCACCTGGTTGAAATAGGGTGCTTTTCTTAAGGGGACATTCAGAGGTGCCCGTTCCTGCTGGGCTATTTGCCTGTGGCTGAACAGAAATGTTCCCTGCTGTTAGCGACAGGGAGGGGGGAGGGGCTAGCCACGCGGTGGGGGGAGACAAAATGCGACCTTGTCACGAAAGCACATGTGCTATGTATGTAATGTTAACAGTAAGGTTTACCATGAAAGAGTGTACCCATTGTTCTATAAACTGTGTCTTTTTAAATACCACTGTCCCTTTTTTTTCCTCCACCAGCTGCGTGTGTTTCAAGGATCTTCTCCTTCCCAGAGGCTAGCGAAGATTAGAAGGTGAAAAAACCGCACTCGTGATGAAATGTTCTCTGAGCTCATGCTGTCCTCCCACACTGACAGAGCACAGACGAATGTGTGGAGGCAGACAACGTCAGAGTGCAGGAAAGCACAAAATGACTGGGAGGAGAGGTGGCGGGCTGAATAGAGTAAGTGGTGGGCTGAAGAGAGGGCTGAAGCTGAAAGGTGGCGGCAGCGTGATGAGAGGAGGCAGGATTCAATGCTGAGGCTGCTGGAGGATCAAACTAATATACTCCAGCGTATGGTTGAGCTGCAGGAAAGGCAGCAGGAGCACAGACCGCCGCTACAGCCCCTGTGTAACCAACCGCCCTCCTCCCCAAGTTCCATAGCCTCCTTACCCAGACACCCAAGAACGTGGTGGGGGGCCTTTGGCCACCCAGCCACTCCACCCCAGAGGATTGCCCAAGCAACAGAAGGCTGGCATTCGATAAGTTTTAAACTTTTAAAGTGCTTTGTGGCCTTGTCCTTCCCTCCTCCACCACCCCTCCTGGGCTACCTTAGGAGTTATCCCCCTATTTGTGTGATGAATTAATAAAGAATGCATGAATGTGAAGCAACAATGACTTTATTGCCTCTGAAAGCGGTGATCGAAGGGAGGAGGGGAGGGTGGTTAGCTTACAGGGAAGTAGAGTGAACAAAGGGGCGGAGGGGGAGGGGGGGTTCATCAAGGAGAAACAAACAGAACTTTCACACCGTAGCCTGGCCAGTCATGAAACTGGTTTCAAAGCTTCTCTGATGCGCACCACGCCCTCCTGTGCTCTTCTAACCGCCCTGGTGTCTGGCTGTCCGTAACCAGCAGCCAGGCGATTTGCCTCAACTTCCCACCCCGCCAAAAGCGTCTCCCCCTTACTCTCACAGATACTGTGGAGAGCACAGCAAGCAGTAATAACAGTGGGATAACAGTGGGAATATTGGCTGAGGTCTAACCGAGTCAGTAAACTGCGCCAGCGTGTTTTTAAACATCCAAATGCACATTCTACCACCATTCTGCACTTGCTCAGCCTGTAGTTGAACAGCTCCTCACTACTGTCCAGGCTGCCTGTGTACGGCTTCATGAGCCATGGCATTAAGGGGTAGGCTGGGTCCTCAAGGATACATATAGGCATTTCAACATCCCCAAGGGTTATTTTCTGGTCTGGGAATAAAGTCCCTTCCTGCAGCTTTTGAAACAGACCAGAGTTCCTGAAGATGCGAGCGTCATGCACCTTTCCCGGCCATCCCACGTTGATGTTGGTGAAACGTCCCTTGTGATCCACCAGTGCTTGCAGCACTATTGAAAAGTACCCCTTGCGGTTTAGGTACTCAGCGGCTTGGTGCTCCGGTGCCAAGATAGGGATATGGGTTTCGTCTATGGCCCCACCACAGTTCGGGAATCCCATTGCAGCAAAGCCATCCACTATGATCTGCACATTTCCCAGGGTCACTACCCTTGATATCAGCAGATCTTTCATTGCGTTGGCTACTTGCATCACAGCAGCCCCAACAGTAGATTTGCCCACTCCAAATTGATTCCCGACTGACCGGTAGCTGTCTGGCGTTGCAAGCTTCAAAGGGCTATTGCCACTCACTTCTCAAGTGTGAGGGCTGCTCTCATCTTGGTATTATTGTGCCTCATGGCAGGGAAAGCACGTCACAAAGTTCCATGAAAGTGCCCTTACGCATGCGAAAGTTTCACAGCCACTGGGAATCGTCCCAGACCTGCAACACTATGCGGTCCCACCAGTCTGTGCTTGTTTCCCAAGCCCAGAATCGGCGTTTCACCGCATGAACCTGCCCCATTAGCACCATGATGCCCACATTGCCAGGGCCTGTGCTGTGAGAGAAGTCTGCATCCGTGTCCATGTCCTCATCACTCTCATCACCGCGCTGACGTCGCCTACTTGCCCGGTTTCACTTTGCCAGGTTCTGGTGCTGCATATACCACTGGATAATGCGCGTGGTGTTTAATGTGCTCCTAATTCCCAAAGTGATCTGAGCAGGCTCCATGCTTGCCATGGTAAGGCGTCTGCACAGAAAAAAGGCGCGGAACGATTGTCTGCCATTGCCCTGACGGAAGGAGGGGCGACTGACGACACAGCTTACAGGGTTGGCTTACAGGGAATTAAAATCAACAAAAGGGGGTGGCTTTGCGAGAAACTGAATGGCCCCCTCAAGGATAGAACTCAAAACTGGGTTTAGCAGGCCGTTGATTTCATGGAGGGAGGAAGGAGAAAATGAATACAAAACAAATCTGCTCTATTTCTTGTTTTGATCCACTTCATCTATCTTTATACATCTTGCTGGCAGCAGACTGTGCAGTACGACCGCTAGCCATCGTCATCTCCTGGGTGCTCGGCAGAAGACGGTGCAGTATGACTGCTGGCCATCGTCTTCTCCTGGCTGCTGATTAAAAGACAGTGCACTAGGACTGCCGGTAGGACTCAATCGCCATGAGACAAAACTTAAAAGGGAAATGACCTGGCTGAGTCACTCCCATGTTTACCCAGGCGCCCCGACCTCATCGAGGTTGGTTAAAAAAGCATCCAGGACTACGTCAACAACGGCTACCAGTCATACTGCACTGTCTGCTGCCAAAAGGCAATAAACTGCTGCTGTGTAGCAATGCAGTACCGCGTCTGCCAGCACCCAGGAGACATACGGTGATGGTTAGCTGAGCGGCCTCCATGCTTGCCGTGGTATGGAATCTGCAAAGGTAACTCAAGAAAAAAGGCACAAAACGATTGTCTGCCCTTGCTTTCACGGAAGGAGGGAGGGAAGGGGGGCCTGACGATATGTACCCAGAACCACCCGCGACAATGTTTTAGCCCCATCAAGCCCTGGGATTTCTACCCAGAATTCAAATGGGCGGCGGAGACTGCGAAAACTGTGGGATAGCTACCCACAGTACAACGCTCTGGAAGTCGATGGTTGCCTTGGTACTGTGGACGCACTCCGCCGACTACATGCACTTAGAGCATTTGTGTGGGGACACACACAATCGACTGTACAAAAACGCTTTCTACAAAACCGACTTCTATAAATTCGACCTAATTTCGTAGTGTAGACATACCCCAAGTTACAGCAGCCTTCAAGCTGATCTAATTTAAGTCTGCACAGAAGGGGACAAAAGGATTGGTGTGGTGTAAGGGTCACCTAGCTATGCTTCCTCTTCTGCTATTCTAGCAGCAAGGAAAGAGCCCCTACACTGGCTTTACATCACCAGAAAACTGTCCTTACATTGGCGTGATCTTCCTTGACATGCTTATGCCAGCTTTATGACCAGAGGATTTTTGGGTCAAAGTCCACTAGTGGTGCAAGACCAGCTGCTGCACTATACCAGAGAACCTGGCTCACAGAGTCTTTTTTTCTTTGGGTCTGCCTAATTACTTCAGACTGTCAATGAACTGACTGTTTTAAAAGTCTGAGAGAATTTGTTTGCTAGTCGTGTTTTAATTAGCAAAAAATTCCTCCAATCCCTGAAAACTCACAGCAAACAAACACTGTTCGAACTGGGGTATGAACCTCCCATGTGCAAATACATGTCCATGAATGAACGTCATCATACCCTGTCTACTGGCCTTCAAACAGCGTCCAGGCAACTGGCTTATGCTGAAGAAAGAAATATGATTACTGAATTTTAGGGACCCAGGAGAATGCTGTAGCTGGGAAAGAATACATCAATTTAGATCAGCTCTTAGTTCTTCAAGGGCCAGAACAGGGAAGGATTTCTGGGACCATGGCTACATCTGGATTACAACTGAAAATTACGGCTGGACATGGTTTTCTGGAGGCCTGAAGAGGGTTAGGATGGGCATGAGTTTTTAACACTGGGCAGCAGGACTGGGGTGCACCTCTTGGGAAAAAAAATCACTGGGGCAGATCCTCCACTGGTGCAATTTGTCTTGGCTCTATTGAAGTAATTGGAACTATAGCAATTAATACCAGCTGAGGTTTTGCCGCCCTTGTGTCCTATCATCATGATATCTGAATAGACACAAACCTCATGATATCATGGCTAGAGCTGGCTGAAAGTGTTTCCTCTGGAAGTTTTTCAAGGAAAAGTGTTTTTCATTACAACTTTTTGCAGCGTTTGTAATTTTCTGATTTTCAACTACATGAAATAAAAGATTTTATTACCAAGAAACAAAACTGTTAACTCCATTAAATTCCAATCAAAATGAAAATGTTTCACTTCCAATAATTTTCTTTAAAAAAAGTCAAAATTCTGAAAAAAAATTCAAATTTTTAAAAATTAATCTCCTTTAGTTTGAAAGTTTCCATAGAAAATAATTAGTATTTTCTGACCAGCTCTAATCATGAAGTTGTGTCAGCGATGAATGTACTTGGGATTCTTTTCCAATAAAGTGTAACAGCCTCATCAAAATCAGCTCTGCTGTAAATCAAAATGAGTAGCTCTGTTTTTAATAATAAACCGTAAGAGTTTGTGAAGGCAAAAATACAAGCTAAGCCCAGACTTAATATCAGAAAAATAATTCAGATACTTGTTTAATTATTATTTTTTCAAGCTCACATCTACAGCGTGTAGCTTTTGTAAAAAAAACCAGACGAAAGGAAAAACAGATTCTTACCATATGACACATTCATAGGATCCTGAGTCTTCTAAAATTGCAGGCATAAACCAAAGCAAGTTCTCATGCTGATGTATTCTGGAAAGTTTCACTTGAGTTACAGGTATTTTTCTCCCACTTTTATACCAAGTCAAGCTGTAATTCATGTGCTGAAGAGCCAGTGTTTTATCTAACAAACAATCAATAGTAAGAGGTTCTCCTACCAGTACAGATACCAAACTTTGACTATGCAGCACATCATGTACCATGCATTCCTCTAAAAAACATGGAGACAAAATTTAAAAAAGACATGAGTATAGAACTATGGAGACAAATTGTCTATTTCTTTAACAGGTTTTCAATATTCATCCTTAAATACTCTTGTGGGACAGGCAACTCCAGCATCTACAAACTAAATGATATTCGATAACTATACACAAAAATTCTGTTAGTGAAATTCTAATCATAAAGAAGGCAGAGAGTTCCCCAGCAATCTGAAATCTGACTATTTTATGTGAAGGAATTAGGAGAATAACATTAGAAACTGTCAGCTTCAATGTGATAGCCAAATCCCAGTTTACGTAATTATATTTTGCCTATCTAGAATTCCACACACTGAGTTTAGATTGCATATTTTGTTTCACCTCCCTTCCCGCACCGAGTTGAAATTTCAAAAGCACTAAATAGCAACTTATCTCTGCTCTCACTGAAGTCAAGGGGAGCTTACCATTGGCTTTGATGAGAGTAGAGTTAGGCTAATAGAGAGTACTTTTGGAAAATCTCACCCTACATTGTTTTGTAGCAGTACTGTCCAGTCTTCAGTTGTTCCATCAGCCCATGCAATAAATGACTAGTTTAGCCAGCATCAACTCTCACTCTGAAATATGCTGAAAGCAAGAGGAGCATGCCAACTTCCAGGAAACAGTAATTGTTCTTTACCTGACTTTTTCCATCCCAATGTGCAAATACCTGATCACAACATACTGGTACAAAGGTCCTTCTACATTCTCCAAGTCTGCACATTGGGGGAGAGTGGAAAACAAGGAGAATTTTATGGGGCTGTCGTTTCCAACTTCTGCTACTCTGTACCCTGCTTGTATGAGCTTTCTGCTGCTTTGCTGTCAATGGCAGCATGGAATTAACAGATACATGGGGCCTTGATATTGTAAAATAATTTGTCAGCCTAACCCTGCCCAGATCTGGAACAATAAGGTGTATACATTGTAGGATTATATAGAGACACTGAAAGATGTACAAATATAAGTCTTGAGAATTCTCCACACTGAAAATATCAAATGTGTGTCAAATCTAGGATATTCAATACTTTTTACAGTGCTCATTTAAAAATGCCTAGGTTTGGAAAGCACACATAATGCACTGACAAACTTCACACCAAAGCAACTTAAGATCACAAATAAAAGCCACACCATTTTATAATGAAAATACAGCACACCCTAAATATTTAGAGTTCAGACTAGCGTCTCTACTGGTCATACTACATCTCTGTTCTAAATAGCTGTTTTCAGGTATCTGAGAAGTAAGTTACTTTAATACATGTATGTGAAAAGAGCGCATTTCAGAGGAAGTAATTAAGAAACCATCTGATCAACTTACCTGCCTTCACTGAAGAGATAAACACTAGGATTATACTGCAGGTAATCACAGCTGTAGCCATTATGTTTTACTAGAGGGAAAAAAATAGATTCAATATTGTCTCTCTCAAAGTAGTACAACTCAGAGCAGAACAAAAATTACAAGCGTCCACACTGTAACTTGTATTTTTATAGATCTTTTTGTACACAAGGACCTCATAAGAACGGCCATACTGGGTCAGACCAATGGTCCATATAGCCCGGTATCCTGTCTTCTGACAGTGGCCAGTGCCAGATGCTTCAAAGGTAATTAATAAAACAGGGCAATTATTGAGTGATCTATCCCCGTTGTCCGGTCCCAGCGTCTAGAAGTCAGAGGCTTAGGGATACCCAGAGCGTGGTGTTGCGTCCCTGATTATCTTGGCTAATAGCCATTGATGGAGCTATCTTCCATGAACTTAACTAGTTCTTTTTTTAACCTAGTTATACTTTTGACCTTCATAACATATCCTGGCAATGAGTGTCACGCTGTCTGGAGCGGCTCACGAGGGCCTACCACAGGGCAGACTGTCAAAAACAGGGCAGACTGGTGGTGTGTTCTATAATTAGATTTCACCAACCCAGTAACCAATGTGAACTCCTGGTGTAAGAGTCTTACCATGGAGTCACAGACAGTCCCCTTAGACTCTCCAGTCTATCCTGCCACCCAGGCAAGCTGGACTCAGTGATAAATGGTCACACCAAAAATCACACAATATTCAGGTTGCTTCCATTCCCAAGAGACCAACACTTACCCCAGATCAGTTGGTACCCAGGAGCTTACATCAATGACAATGCCTGTAACCAATCCTGTAATAAACTATCTAAAGGTTTATTGAACTAGGGAAAAGAAATAAGAGTTATTTACAGGTTAAAGCAAGCAAATATATACACACAAATGAGTTATCTAAATCACTAGAGTGACATAGTTGTAGAGATCTGTCAATTCAAAGTATCTTGGGATACCTGCCTCAGTCTCTGGCCCTCTCAGCATTCAAACAGCAAAGAGAGAGATGGACAAATTTCCTGTGATTTTATTTCCTTCATTCAGTTTTCAAGTCCATAGGATAAGCTTCCTTGCACACAGCTTTTCCTAGGTGTGATAGGGCCATTAACCAATCCTTTGTATTGCGATGTTCCTTGATGGCTCATCTTTATTTTGATAGTCCTTCTGGATGGCTGCGGGGTGGGGGACATGATTCCCATACCTGGGTTCAGAACAAACATTTTCAAAGTTATAAAGCAAAACTTACGTATTTTTTGTAGCATGGAATACAGCCATTAAAAGTTAGATTCATGCAAGCAGCACCTTACAAGCATTTCAGAGAGTCTAAACACTAAATACATTCTTATATGACTAATTTTGAGAAAAACTAACACACAGGTAAACTGATCCAGTCTCCAGCTATGAGTCTGTTAGTTCTTAGCTAACGCCTGCAGTCTTGGCAAGCACTGGCACCTGGTTTGCCAGCATCACAACGAGTTCCACAGGTTTTCTGTGCATTGTGTGAAGAAATACTTCCTTTCGTTTGTTTTAAACCTGCTGCCTATTAATTTCATTGGGAGACCCTGGTTCTTGTGTTATATGAAGGGGTAAACGACACTTCACTTTCTCCACTCCATTCATGATTTTATAAATTTCTATTGTTTCCCCTCTTAGTTGACTCATTTCTAAGATAAACAGAATCCGTTTTTTTAATCTCTCCTCAAAAGGAAGCTATTCCATACCCCTAATCATTTTTATTGTTCTTCTCTGTACCTTTTCTGAGATGCGGCGACTAGAACTAGATGCAGCATTCAAGGTGTGGCCATACCATGGATTCGTATAGTGGCATTGTATTTTCTGTCTTAATTATCCCTTTCCTAATGGTTTCTAATACTGTCAGCTTTTTTACTACTGCTGCACATTGAACATTTATTTTCAGAGAACTATTCATGTTGATTCCAAGATCACTTTCTTTAGTAGTAACAGCTCATTTAGATCCCAGCATTTTAGTTTAGTATAGTTTGGATTATGTTTTCCAACATGCATTACTTTGCACTTATCAACACTGAATTTCATTTGCCATTTTGTTGCCCAATCACCCAGTTCATGAGATCCCTTTATAACTCTTCACAGTCTGCTTTGGACTTAACTAACTTGAGTAATTTTGTATCATCTGCAAACTTTGCCACTTCACTGTTTACTTCCCTTTCCAGATCATCTATGAATATGTTGACTAGCACAGATCCCAACACAGATCCTTATGGATAACCACTTTCCATTGTGAAAACTGACCATCTATTTCTAGCCTTTCGTTTCCTAGCTTTTAATCAGTTACTGATCCACGAAAGAACCTTCCCTCTTACCCCATGACTGCTTACTTTGCTTGAGAGTCTTTGGTGTGGGACCTTGTCAAAAGCTTTCTGAAAGTCCAAGTACACTATATCAACTGGATCACACTTGTCCACATGCTTGTGACACCCTCAAAGAGTGCTAACAGATTGGTGAGGCATGATTTCCCTTTACAAAAGTCATGTTGATGCTTCCCCAATATATCGTGTTCACCTATGTGTCTGATTATTCCATTTTTTACAATAGTTTCAACCAATCTGCCTGATCCTCAAGTTAGGCCTATGGTACGTCTACACTGCAACATAAGCCCATACTAGCGCTCGGGGTCAAGCCTAACCTACCTTGCGTCTACACTGCAATTCCGCTAACCCAGGACTCAGACCCAGGGTCCCAGGACCCTGCAAGGCAACAGGGTTCGAGCTCAAGTCAAGCTGGGATCCATTGTTTGAGCCCTATGGCTTTGCAGTGTAGACACAGCCCCACTTGCCCATGTCCAGTAGTTTGCCAGAAGTAACCCACAATTCCATGGGACAACTTCCTTACTTCTCTCTATCCCAACAAGCTCCAATCCACTCTATTGAAACCAGAAACTACTCCCTCCTTGGCGTACAGCAGCAGCTCAGGTCATTAACCCATTCTCTTCTGATCACTGATCTGCAACCACACTATCGGAGAGCCTCCTAGGTTTGCAATGGAGATTGAACTGAAAGAACCTTTTCCAAAGCGCACTGCTTCATGGTCATGGGAGCACAGCCAAATTTTGGTCAATCTCTGGTGCAAGGTCAGTAAAACTGTGGACTTCAGCAAAAGCACCAGGAATGACCACGTGTACCAGCAGATAGCTAAAAAGCTGACAGCTCTGCAGATTTTCCAGACTGGTGATCAGTGCAGGGAATGTATTAAGAGGCTGAAGAACAAGTACTGGAAGACGAGGGACAAGAACTGCACCTCGGGTAACTCACCAACAACATGTCCATTTTATGACGACTGTGCCCAGCATGGAGGCAACTGTGCTTCATAATGACCTGGTCAGCTAGGATAGTGGCCAATGACCTCCATCAGCATGGGGTCTGATGGGAGCCAGAAGCAGGCTCCCAATGAGGAGCATGAAGTGACAGTTTTAATGGAACTGTGGACCAGGATTAACAAGAGCAGATTGTGGACCAGGATTAACAGCAAATTCTTGGTCCCTACTCAGCAGGGCTGTTTGATCCCCCCCACACGGCTGAGCTTGTAACAAACCTGGTGGAGGCAGAAGCCACCTCAAAGCCCGGTAAGTGTATAAGGCAAATTTACAGGTTATTATTACAGTAATGGGAAGGATTTCTGCTGTAAGAAACAATGCAATAATGACAAGTCCCGGCTAGCAGCATGGCCACTAAGGGCAGACTGCATCACATTGCCTACGTGACTCCCTTCTTCTTCGCCCTCTCCTCCCCGCATGTGGCATTCAAAATGGCAATTTGGAATTTCAAACATTCATAAACAGCTGTAAAGGTCATTTTAACTGTTAAGTCACACATGTTTGTCAGGGTCAGTCATGTTTTCCTTTCAGTAATAAGAAATTTGCCACTCTGTAATCACTCCTCCTAGGTCTATGGAGCCACCTGTGAACACTGAACTGAGTGTGTGTGTTTGGGAAACAGTATTTTATTTCCAAATCTAGTCCATTTCAGTTAGAAGTAGTCCATACAGTCAGCGGGTCACAAAATCAGGTCTCCAAGTGTCAGTTTTTTTCCCCTAGTGCCAACCTAGGGTGGAAGAAACCTATGGATTTCGACATGTTTGTTGGAGCAATAACAGAGTAAGCTACATGTGACCTAATGCAGCCTCGTGTTAATTCCCTCATGGATTCTGACCCAATCCTGGCTGCTGATAGCTGCAAACTTTTCCGGAAGCAGCAACTCCAGATAGTCAGTCATACTGCAGGGGAGGGTGTATTTTCCAGGCCCCCATGGACAGCTGACTAGTTCACTCCACTCACACAAACATCCTATTTTGTCACTATACATTAGAATACTTCAGCTGCACACACGGCAGATTTCCCGGCAGTCAGGGAATAACATTTCCCTCTGCCAATATGGGCACCACAAGAACAGTTTAGAAAAGTTCTAATATAGGGTTAGAAAACAATGTAGACACGCAACAGGGTTCCCTAACATGGGTCAGCTGACTCGAGTCCCACTAACCCTGGGCTTACACTGCAATGTAGACATACCCCTACTGGGCTGTAATTGCCAGGATCACTTTTGGAGCCCTCTCCCTTTTATTTTATTTTTTTTAAATAACATTACATTAGCTATTCTCCAGTCATTTGGTAAGAGGCTGCTTTAAGCGATAGGTACACACCGCACTCTCGGCATCCACAGAAATGACGCAAGATTGATAGTGATTGCCTTGTTATCTCTGCTAACTCTGGAAAACGCTGTAGAATGGCAGGTGAATCCCAAAACTCTCCAGGTTAATTCACACTCACTTGTACAAAACGGTGTATGGGGCAAGCTGTGCTTTAGCTTTGCGGCCAAACACAGGGATTACCTCCAGAGGGAGCACTTGCTCTGATAACATATTCACTTGTTTCACATCCAATACCCAAACTGCTTTCATAAATGACGGTCCGGGCTATGTGAACCTTGGGCCTCATTGAGCTGGTCTGGCAACATTCTCCTCAGTGTCTTCAGTTTGTCTGCTGTTTTCTTGAACGCTCTTTGTAAAAATGCATTCTGCTCTGCATCGTCACCAGCCCCGGAGCACTCACGGAGTTGGCGCCTAAGGTGCCACTTTCGATGTGATCAGTGGGGGGAGTGGCCGCTCCCCCTCCAACCCCCCCACCTACGCTACCCCACCTCTAGGAGCCACAGGGACCTGCCCGATGCTTCCTGGGAGCTGCCCCAGGTAAGCACTGCCAGGACTCCCCACCTCCGCCCCTGGCAGGTCCCTCTGGTTCTTAGGGGCGGGGTGGGCACCCACTACGGTGGCCCACAAGAGCCTCCTGCCCGGTTCCGGGGGCTGTCAGGGGGCAGGGATCCCGGGGGTAGGGTGGGGCATCAAGGAACATGAGGGGTTGGATGGGGCAGGAGTCCCGCAGGGCGGGGTAGGCTATGACCCCCTCGTGGGGTGAGGAGGGAACCGGTTGTTAAGGTTTTGGCAGCTCATCACTGAGTAAGTGTTAGGTGAAATCTCCATTTCACTGTCAATGAACTTGCAGTAGCCACTTACATGTTCAGCGTGGCAAAGAACTGCTTCAACCACCCATTCCATCATGTCGCTATTGGTTCTGGACAGAGGCAGTCGGTCAGGATTAGGCTGTTTTTTTCTTGCAAAGAAAGCCTTGAAACACAGTTTGCGAGCGGGCCAGTGCTTAAACATTTTTTTCACTGCAGCAGTGAATTTATCAATTTTAGAAAAATGAACATGCCACTGATTGCTAGCCAGACTCACAATATGATTATGTTTGTCATCCGTTGACTTGTCAAACATAATGCAAGCAGAAGCAGCTTTTTTCATACGCTCTTTCAGCTCCTCTCTGTGGACTTCAAACGCTTTGGGTAAGTAATCTTGGCAAAGCTTGTTAGCAGAAGGAAGAGCACCTGTGTTTGGAACTGGTTGCTGAATAGTTACAGTAGGCCTGGGACCTAATTCACCACCATACTAAACTAACCTTGATTAGCCTTGGGTGAAACTCAGGGATTTCACCATTAAAAGTAAGAAAAAATTGTTCTGCTGCTAATAAGGTACCCCCACCTCAGGAATGCCCCTAACAAGAGTTATAACACCCAGGGTTGTAAAGTAGAGACACCCCCAGGCACTGGAAAGTTTAGGGAGGATACCAAAAGACTCAGCAAATGGTAAATTTGATAAAATA